TATTTCATTTTTTTCCATTTTGCCTTCACTTTTTTTCATTATTTTCAGGACTTTATTCGATGGCTTGGAGAGCCTAGACTATAGTACTATTTAACCCATAGCCGACAGGATAAGAGATAGATTCAGGATTTTTCTAACTGCATTTGTAAGATAGTGAATGCAAGAGAGACGATAGGAATTTGAACCCTTCTCGCTGATTTCAATTCCCGCGTTGACAACGGGTATCAAGGATATGCGATGAGCAAATAATCGCCTATCCTTAATATGCAAGTGAGTATTAAATAATAATATTTCTATCCCATAATATGATGTTGCATTTAGGGAATTAGATGTTTGTACCATTTCAGAAACTTTTATGGGATCATTGCAGTATTACCCTTGTTTAATACACTGCTTTTGTTTGTTTTTTATCCTGTTTTTTGGGGGGCGGGGGGTTGTACATACATTTGTTTAGTTTGGGTGATTTCTTTTCCATTTTTAATATTTTTCTTGTAACTTTTTCTTTTTTTATTTTCATTTTTTTTTTCAATCGTTTTGTCATTTCTTTCTTTCATATTTTGAGGAACGGTTTATTGAATTCCAAAAACATTTCAAGGCTCTTTCACGTCTTGACCCATAATGTTGGGATGGAAATCACAGAAGCAGAAATTGATTGATGCATTAATCTAAATGCTTTGCCATTTGACTCAGTTTGAAAGTTGAACTTTACACGTATATCCGAATATTTCTATGTATATCCGAATGTTAATAAATGGGCTGTGTGCATGAAAACGATGACGAAAAGAAAGAAAAAACATTTATCCCAAAAAAGAAGCAAAGGTCCATACAAATATCGATTGACAACATCTTGAGATAATTCCTCCAATTTTTATCTCACCATCGAAAATTATTTTTCCACAAAGAACTGTTTTTTTTTTTCTCGTATTAATTTGTCAGTGGGGCGTCGTTCTGATAAATGTTCTCTTTGAGCTGAGTTTCCGCGCTGCTAAACAATTTGATTTGATTGGATTAGATTATTGAGAATATCGCCAAATGATTGGTGGTTTTAAAAGTAGCAGCGACGCAAATATGGCGACAATCAGGTTCAGAAGGCGATCTGTGATTACTTTAACCGAAATAGATTAATCTCTCTAATATCGTCCGTTATTAAGTAAATTCGTACGTAACCCGATGTTAGTCATAGTATGTTTTTAGAAAACAGTTGTTAAGAAATAATCTTAAGTTAATAATCATTTACTCTGAGGTTTTCTTTCTGCGGTATTTATATATATATATATATGTGTGTGTGTGTGTGTGTGTGTGTGTGTGTGTGTGTGTAGTTGTTAGAAAGAGTTACTGAAAACGAATAGATTTTCGATAAATAATTTAACTTGTTGTAGAGGACCGTGTGTGTATTTACGTGTTGTTGTATTAGAAACAATTGTGTAGCTCCTAGTAGAATATTAAAAGGTCCAACTACAAGAAAATTGCCGGACTTTAATTAAGTCCAATTGAAGATAATGAAGACAAACAAACAAGACGGGTATATATATATATATATATATATATATATATATATATATATATATATATAATATATATATTAAATGTATTAAACAAAACAATTTTACAGTGGACACAGACAATGACATTAGCGTGCGTGTGTGAACATTTGTGTCTGTTCTCTGGTGAATGTTCGTATGTAAGTGTATTTGTGTATAATGTTCACGGCGTCTTCCACAAGGGAAGACGCAGATTTTCTAAGTGAGCTTACATTGTAGTCGCTAAAATGAAGAAATGAAAAAGAGGATTTACCTCACCTTCACGCGAGGTGGGATATGGCACAAGGCCTGAAGGAAAAAGTAGACGAGACGAGAAGTCGCCCATTATTTATTGCATAGGGAGAATGACCCCTAGGGACAGTTAGGGAATTAAGAAGGAGTGTTAATTCTTTTTGAGTAATTTCACGTCTACTTATCATCTCTCAGTTGCGTCTCTCTCTTTGGGCAGAGTGCTCAGGGGCTTCTCTGTCAAAGGACAAAGGAGCAACTAAGGAAAATAATACTGAGAAGTGCCCAGGCCTGGGGAACAGCTGCCCGAGGCTGCGCCCTCCCATTGCACCAGAGGGAGGGATCGGCGCTCGCACCGAGGTCAGCCCAACCGAGGGTTGCCGGGGCTGAGGGAAATTTTTGTTCCTGTCCTGGGTGTACGGGCTCGGATCCCCACCTAAAAATAGACTCTGTGTCACATCTCGCCCTAGTGGGACAGAGTAAATCAGTTAGCCTGGTTGATCTCTGATCTAATTGCTTATTTTCCGATAATGCCAGTGGTAGGTATCCAATCCCGAATTTTATAAAATCAATGAATATTAATTTTCAAGGCATGAATTCGTTCACTCCTTAAATAGTTTTCCTTTTCCACATTTTTCTCGATTAAAAAGTATCTGTCACCATAATATTATACTTGTAAAATCTGTAATAACGCATAATATAACTGTTGACCTGGGGTTTTCTGAGAATGACAATTCACACTGTCGTAAAGTGTCTAATGCGACTAGCTGTATATAATGCGCGGTTTAACATATTCTTTGAGACTATGCTGTGTTAAGATGATAATCTCCAATGTGGTTATTTGCTGGAGGCAACTCCAAGTTTATGAAGTGCGTGACAAGTACGTTCGGACAGGTTGAACAAATTCCGTCTTAAGACTCAGGCTGATTTTAGACGACAGTTCTATGTTTCCGCTATCCAGTGGCACATGAATCAACTAGCAGTAATAACTTAAGCATGGTTCAGATGTTTATCGATCCAAGTTTGTAGGCAATCTACTTTAAATACAGATAAAAGCGAGGATTTGCGAATTCTTCAGATTAAACGTTCAACCGAAAGCAGAATTTCAAAAACTACTTCGGTCTGATATTACCATTTACCTTCGGTTTTAATAATTAAAAAGTTAATATTTTTTTAATTCAGGAATTATTTGTGCGTTTGTGTATATTAGTAAAGTCCGCATTATAAAAAGAACACGTTTTAAAAAATGTAATCTTATAAGATTTCCTTTCTTATTTCTTATTGAAAAGGACATTTTATGAGAATTGGTTAAAAGCACTCTCTTATTGTTCATTTTAACAAAGAACAAGACGGTTTTCAAACAAAGTAAAAGTCGATGGTCAGGAAGTTAAAGTAACAAGACAATTCGATTGTCTTGATTATCAGCAAAGACGGTACCAGAATACCAGAATAGAAAGCATTTCAAGAGCAGCTGCCGCAGAACAAAGAACAATGTGAAAAGACAAGAACATCTGTCTGAAGACAGAAATTGCAATCTTATATGCACTGACCTTTTCAATCTTTCTGTACGGTTGTGAATCTTGGACATTAACAGCAGAATTACAGCGAAGAAGCCAAGCATTAGACATGAGATGCTATGAAATCATCTTTAACATGTTGCGGATGTGTGATATGGGTGTTGGAGAGGAATAGAAGGTTTGAATTATCAATTATTAAACTGTAGTCTAGGAAGAATAAAGTTTCTTTAGCATGTTTGGAATTGTGTATTGTACAAGTTGGTAAACGTTCAGAAGAGATTTCTGAGTTCGTATTTGCGTGAATGTTGGTAATGGTCTTTAACGAACTGACCGCAAATGTTAAGACGGGAGTTCTTGAAGATTACATCGTGGCAGCAAGGAATGAGACGCGAGAGAGCAGGAAAACAGATTTGTCGCGTTCAGGCGGTTTGATTGGTCGGAACTAACCAATCAGCAAACTAGATTGAAGGTGATTAACCAATGAATGCTTGTTATATATTTTGTAAGATTGTGATGGTGAAAATTACAACAGGAATAGTGCATTTCCTAGCAGGGGTTAACTGGCTTGTTGTGGAAGATTCTACAAACATCTCTTATATAGAATGCATTAGAAAATTGAAACAATGCGAGAAAACAAGAATCAGGCTCATTGGAAGACCTCATAAACCGTGTCAAGAGGAAAAAGTTGAAATGGTATGGCCACGTTATAAGAGCCAACAAGCTTTCCACTATTTTGGTACCACTTAAGGTAAAAGAAGTTAATGAGAAAATGGTTTGAAAACGTCACTGAGTGAACTGGAAGATCATTCGCAAATCTCAACAGATTATTGTTTTGTGAAGTAAATGAAAAAATAATTCCATTGTGTATCACGTAAAAACAGATCAATACGAAGCTTTGTTGTGGTCAGTCAACTCAAAAATGCTTTCTTGTCGACAAAAATCTATGCAAGTAATTCCTTTTACTCAAAAAGAGAAGTGAAATGACTGGAAATGAAAAGAGTAATCAACAACAGAAATTGCATGCCAATGCTTGTAAGTTATTACGCCATTAAATTAGAAATGTTAATAAAGACTAAAAGTTTATCCCAATTATTGGAAGCTTATTTATTATATTAATTGTTAACGCCACTATATACTTGTAAAATCTCTATTGGAATAAGTGGATATATGATACCAAAGTATTTGTAAGTATAGCATGAACGTAGAAATTAATACGGATTTATTTCAATAAGAAAGTATAACAAATGGTTTAATAAGAAAAGAATTTAGAAGCTCTTTAGACTTGGTTGGCATTTATCGATAAAAAACACCAAAATCTTTAGATCATAGGACTACGAAGTTCAATAACTGAAATTTAAAAAAAAACAAAAGTTACTTGATTTCATAATCTACAGCAGGCAACATAACACAGGATGATGATGATGATGATGATGATGATGATGATGATGATGCATTGGAATGATTGATCGCTTGATTGCTTTTTACGGCTTATCAACCTCTTACACATTATTTTAAAGCCAGAAAATATTTTAAAGAATTTTGTGGAGACAATAAGGATTTACTGATACAAGTTCTACTAATTAACCTATAGCTGGTGGGGAAGAACAGGTGGATTCATATAAGTGTATTGGCGCAAAATGAATGTGGAATTGGAACTCGGCTCTCCGATTTCCAATTTCGAGCCATTATCTATTACACCACCGGCACATCGAAGCTTACAGCACCTGATATTTCCAGGCGGTCACCCATCTACGTACTGATCAGGCTCGAGGTTTCTAAACTCCGCTGATCGTACGTGAACCGGTATTCCAAAGTGATATGTCCGTAAGCCGATGATGCAGTTGAAAACAATTCCTTTGACTAGCAATTCTTCAATGCTTGAGTATTTCTTAGCAAAATGAAAAAAAAAACTACCAATCAACGTGTTTATTTGGGTTACGAGAATTCGGAGAAAAGATCCCGAATTCTGAACTCACAAGTGGATTCTCCAGTAGGACAATGCAACTGCGCATGATGCGTTAGGGTTACGCAACTTCCCCCTGGCTAAAAAAAATGCATTACAAAAATGGTCTATACCCGTTTTTCACCAGATTTAGGCCCCGTGATTTTTGGCTGTTTCAAAAATTTTTAAATGCCCTGGAGGGACAAACATTTGCTGACATCCTAGACTACATGAGTGAAAGCTATTACGAAAAATAAATTCCAATATCTCCAGCAATAGCAACATCGTCTCACGGAGTGCACAGTTTCATAAGGGATGTGTTTGACGGTGACAGAAAACTTGGCTTCACAAGGTCTTAAATTGTCGCACCTTGTAAAGTTAGTTTGAATAAAAACTCTATTGATCTTTATTAGTTCTGGCCATTTCATTACAATTATCTTTCATTCCATCGATAAATTCTTTTGTTTCCAGTTTGAATTTCTGGTATGAGGAATTATAATGTGTTATATTATTTTTATTCGGACTAATGTCCTCAGTTTTGTTTTTTATTATCACAACGTTTCGGCTGTTTTGCCCTCCGGTCTTCTTCAGCTGTCTATCGGGATAATTTTCAGAGAATTTAGAACTATGCTTTTTGTTTAATCAACGTGGATACATATATTGTTAAGCCTTTCTGCACATGTCTAGGTATAGCTCCTTTTGTTTTTCCTTAGTATTCCTCGGTTATTGCTTGTCCTGTTTCCACTGAGTCTGGATCATGGATCGACAAACACCTGAAGAAGGCCGGGTACACAACGGCTGAAACAACAAAGATGGGGGTCATCATTTGTTTTTGTTTTTAATCGCATTCTTTTCATTATAGCGATTAGACGTCTTACTTAAGATTTTGCGTGTTTATTTATGTATATTCAGTGTAATGTTAGATTAGTTATAAATGATTTCTGATTTATTTACCAACTTTATTCTTCAAAAAATAAAGTACAATTACATTTTATTCAATTACATTTTTACAATTGTTTGCAATGACTTGTTGCTACTTATCAAGCAACAACTCGATACCTTTTGAGTAAAATTCAGCAGGTTTTGATGCGAAAGGTTTTCGACAAACTCCTAAATCTAGTTTTGATTAGAAAAATTTACATATCAAAGCGTTTTGCAGCCGCCGTAAAGGTAATAACCGGTTGTGGCAAGTTCAGATGAACATGGTGGGTGGGGGTAGTACAGACCAACCGAGTTCCCAGGGGTCGTTGTATGCGGCCTGGTATTGTCATGGAGAACATTTTTCCTATCGACGAACAAAGTGAGATTTTTGACTAAATTTTTATGGACGCGTTCCAGCTGCTGGACGCACCAATGTGAATTTAATGTTCAATGTTTAATTTTACGCTTTAACAGTTTTAAATGAATAATACTACAACGATCCATCTACACATACAACTTTACATCATTTCTTCCACAGAGCTCAGCTTTTGGAGTCGGTTGTGGAGATTTATCCTTGTCAGTACACTGTCATTTGAACATTGTTGTATGCAACTCACTTTTCATCATCACTGCTTATGGTATATTTAAGGAACGGTTAGTTGGGATGAAATGGTATTCGGACACTTGGCCGTCGGACATTTAACCGAATGGACATTTAGCCGAAAATGTAGTGGCATACTTGCATGTATGCCACACTCTTTGTCGTAATGTGCTACATATATTTATATTTATTTATTGTATTAACTTATAATTTTTCGATTTTTTTTATTTGACAGGCTTTATTTTAAATCTATTCTGTATATATGATATTTTGCTTCAAATATTACGATGATAAGTATTTTGAGAAAAGGCACATTTTACTACAGCAAAAATCTTAAGCTTTTACGATATGAAAGATTTTTCAATTTCGCTTTTAATGATCATTATCTTAAAGTTTTTATCTTACTGTTAAATACGAATTTAAATAATTAGGTGCTATTTTTTGCCCAAATACACTGAAATATTTTTAAAACTACAAATTTCAATAAACAAATATTGAAATAAGAAAATTTTCAATTTTAAATTTCGATTTAGTAATTTAATCACTTGAAATTCAGTGGTAATTATTAGGCTTATTCTACCTTATATAATTGCTAATTAAAATACCTAAAGTATTGCTTGTTACTACTTTTTACTTGTACTTTTTCGGTGAAATGTCCGTCGGCCAAATGTCTGTCCGGCCAAATGTCTCTCGGCCAAATCTCCGTCGGCCAAATCTCCGTCGGCCAAATGTCTGTCCGGCCGGCTAAATGTCCCTCCACTTGCAATACATGCTTCATTCAGAACTCCCACTACCACCACCAGGATAGACAAACTTGAAAATAACATGTTCTTCTTATTTTCATGTTTTATGAAGCATTAACTGGATCCGCGCAGTATAAAGTTTCCAATATATACTTTTAAACATCATCAAACTGGAATTATAGAAATGAAATGTCATCGTTTGCTAAAAGCTAGCTTTTTCTGAGATTTCTGAAGAATTTTCGTTTTGTTGGCTCAAATGTCATGACAGTTTAAAAATCTATAAAAATGACATCAAGAAAGGTTCGAAAAATTTTCTAAGCTGAGAGCCCACTCAAAAATAACAACCAACAGAAACTTGGAAGAAGTTGTGGCTTCGGATGGCATGGATATATAAACGAAGGTCGCTGGTCCGATAGTCGAAAAATTCAACGAAAAGAGGAGGTGGTACCCTCGTCAGTGAAGAAAGGTCCGCTCTTGGTCACTTCAGCACTTCAGAAAATAGCAACAGAAGCTCAACATGTCTTCGAGGCACCATGTCTGGTTGAAAGAACACTTATTTCGGTTTCGACGTTTTTGTGTTTTTCCAAATAAAATATATCAATTTATTTCGGTGTTATATCTTTTTATATTTATCGTGTATCTCTTATTTTTGAATTTAACCCCCAATTCGCCTTTCTATTAAATTATTTCTTACATTGCTATAAACTGCTTCGAACGCGATTTGATTCGGTTACGTCCAGTTTTATTTCTCCATTTATTTACTGGTTAAATTTAATTTGGAACATCTGCTTTTATCTGAATTTTTAGTTCGATTCTTGTATCTTTTCAGTCAAACTTCCTTACTTAAATAGTTTGGTTTAATTCCTCTCAGACAATGTTTTACTGGATTCTGTATGTATTCAGTTCATCTTCTTTAACTTTATTACAATATTTCCGCATTGACTTTTCGTCATTTCCGTTTTCAGTAAAAGTTTTTAATTCGTCACTTTTGTCTCTTTTCCCAATTGTCGTTTGGCATTTACATTCTTCTGTACGTGCTTTTTTTTTTGTAATCAGTTTTTGTGATTTATTTTTCCTCGTTCAATAGCCCAACTGATTGATGTTGTCCATTTCAATATAAAATAGTAATTTATTAACTTTCTCTGTTTCAGTTCTGACATTTCCCCAACCCATATTTCATTCGTATTAAAATGAATATTTCTTTTCTTTCATTTTTGTTTTGTCTGTTTCTTGAGTTTAAAAAAAAAACCTTGTTGTGTGTGTCTGTTAGATTCTTAATCATTTTTTCTCTTCATTCTTTTATGTGCGTTTCTTTGTTTTTCATTGAATCTAGTGATTCTTCATTCTCTAAATGGAATTGCTAGCATTTTTCCCCCGATTTTCTAACCCACGTTTTTCATTCTATGCTTGTATTTCCTGAAAACTCATTTCTCGTTTTAAAAAAACAATAAAAAAGACAACTAAACCGAAAAACGAACAGGCAACCAAATATCTGGCAATTTTTTTTTTTTTTTTTTTTATTCAAGTGGAATTATTTTTACGTTTGCATGCAATGACTGCACAGAGAAAATATTTTGGGAAATCATTCCGCCATATTGTCTGTTTCTGATTTCAATCCAGAGCTCCGCACCTACTCATGGGTCAAACTTTTGTCAACATCCGGGTTTCGTGCTCGCAATGGGTGTGGGCTATGTAATGGATTTTCTTCCCATTTGGTTTTCATGTTAGTTGATCCTTTATTTTCTGCTTTTTGCGTGATATTTTTGATTTCTGACTTTGGTATTTCACGCCCTATTTCATCTTACTAGTAAAATTGTAGAAATTGTTTGAATTTGGGTTTTTTTATAACTGAATCTAGCCTCTTGTTGGATTCATATTGGTAAAACAGTCTTTAGCATATAATCATTGGTTAACTCAAGATATCTTTCAAAATCTAAGGTTGGATTGCTGCATGTAAGTTCTAATTAGGTCAGTCCTCTATCTTCATTTGCCCTATGAAGTTATAATTGATCTGCATCTACTCTAGGATGGTTCATGTTGTACATGATATGGAGTTTTCTATTTATAATTCGTATTTTTTATTTTCTAAATTCCGGTTTATCACATTGAAAGACAGTCACAACAACTACGATGTTTCATTTTTGTTTATTTTATTCAGATTTATTTATCACTAATACTTATATCTGCCTATATTTCTGGGATGAGGTATTATGTACATTATTTACATTATTCGGACTATTGTCCTCATCTTTGTTGCCATATTTATTACAACGTTTCGGCCTTTCAGTATCTGTCTATATTTCTGAGATGAAGTATTATGTACATTATTTACATTATTCGGACTATTGTCCTCATCTTTGTTGCCATATTTATCACAACGTTTCGGCGCTTCAGTATCTGTCTATATTTCTGAGATGAGGTATTATGTACACTATTTACATTATTCAGACTATTGCCCTCATCTTTGTCGCCATATTTATTACAACGTTTCGGCCTTTCAGTATCTGTGTATATTACTGAGATGAGGTATTATGTACATTATTTACATTATTCGGACTATTGTCCTCATCTTTGTTGTCATATTTATCACAACGTTTCGGCCGTTGTACGCTCCGGCCTTC